AATATTTACAATGTTTGTGCTACAAATAATTAAGCCTGATAAGGATATTTATCCTAGAAATAACTAAGATAAAAAAGTGATAATAAAAAAAACCCCAAATTAATTTAAACCATTCAACATCCATTAAGGTAAAATAAAGTAAATAAATTCTGCCGATTGGCTATTTCCATATGGGTGGATTTCTTTAAATAGTAATGAAATCATTGCTAAAAAATCCATTGTTATTAAAATAAAAAAGTTGGCTCAGCCTACCAAAATTAGATTTGTAAGTTGCTGGTCATTCCCATAATTAAATCTGTGTCACAAATTTGCAAGAAAAATGGACACTATGACTAATGCATTTACTTGCTGCACTAGTGCTGTCAGGCTGTGTAAATCATTATGCCTGCTAAAGCAGAGCAGATAAGAAGTCCATACATTTTCATTAACCAACTAGGCTTTGTGTATATGTGAGAAGCTAACTTTTGTATCCCCTGCTAGCTTTAGCTTTAAGTTGGAAGACAATGTAAATAAAACCACTACCCTTGATTTGATTAGCCAAGTGGCTGCTCCAAAAATCGAGTTTTTAAACAACATGAACCAGCTCTGTCCCCTCTTAAAGATGGTCAGATAAGATAACAAAACCATAGATACTTAATTTGGACAAAGGAGATTAATGAAGTGATGGGCACGTGGAAAAGTGTCCTTCTTCAGACTGACTTATGTAGCCTAGACACATGCCTGTTTCATCCTATAGGTTTCAACAGAGGAAGCAAAGCTAATCCAAGACAGCATCAGAAGTCTCAATGAACAGTTTCATTTTTTTGGCTGCCCTTTGCTCTTTCTCAGGAGTGCAATGGTCACCAGGGCGGAGTCCTCTGAATCCTCTCATTTTTCCTCTTGATTTTCTGTCACCACAGACCTTCAGATCTTGGTTACAGTTCTTTGTTAAAGGTGAAACTGATGGCTGTTCCTTTCACACTTACTGTTCATAACCCCAAGGCACCAAAGAATCAAACAACATTGACAATCCGGATACTCTCAAGGGTTTCCACTGTCTCAGGCGGGAAGGAGATCAATGAGAGGTAGAAAGAGGTTAGACAACACTGTTTCTAGTCTATCAATGCAGAGCATTTTGTGAGGACATCCTCTTCCAGATTGTAGGCCCTCTCCTTCTTCCATGCACATGGCATTATATTGTCACTGCAAATTGAGTTTAGCTCTCAACCAAGCACGTGCCTCCACTTCAGTGCAAGAACCGTCTCAATGACAGGCTACGACTTGTTGAACTTAGAAGTCGAAGGAGCTGAGCCACCCAGGCAAACACCACACAACAACCACTAGCACTGAATGTTTTTCAGTATCCGGTCTATTGCTTTGTGCTTTGGACACTAACAAGCATTATTTTTCTTTTACAGCACAAGTTTTAGAAGCAGAATAAAGTTGCTTAGGAAGCATGGTAATGCATACAATGTTAAGAATCTCAACAGACCCACACTTAACATCCCAGACAGTTTCTTTAGCCTTTAGGTGAAAAAAAATATCCTCTCCTATAAGCAGAAGCAGCTACCTCAGGGCTTTCTATCTCAGCAGATCTTAGCATGCATTTGAATGCTTTACAGTAGCAACCTTGCTGATAACCAACCACCCAGTATTAGTAAAGCACTATCAGATTTTATTAAAACCCCATTAAGAGGAAAAACTGAAATCACTTATGTTCCATAATTATTATAACCAAACTGTTTAAATGAGGGGAGGAGATAATGATATTAACTACCCAACTCAAAGCAATCCTCTGTGGTATGATTCTAAATATTCTCTTGGCTGAAATTTATGTAAATTGAATTCATCTAACATTAGTTATTACTAATCTAGCTACATAAAAACACTTTTCTGTAACAATTAGTTCTTTAAAACATTGTGTTTTAATTAGACCTGGGACATTATTAAACTAAGTGTAAATATGTACAGTATCATTCCATGCATTGTTTTGCCTGCGTATTTATAGGAATATGGGCTTTGGTGGAGTTTAAAAGGAATTGCTTTGCAGTTGGTTGGTAGTTTTTATAAATCTCCTTACCAGTGAAAACACCTCCAGATGCTTAATCTAAGTGTAGTTCTGTTCAGCAAGACGTAGTCAACGTTTCTACATTTTGCCTATCACAATAGGCACAATTTCATCTGAATAAGCTCATCTCAGTATCACTCTAACATTATGCTTAGTCTTTTCCTGCAGACATTTTGTTCCACGGTTTATTTTAATCTAACTTCTCAAGGACCATTTCCTAGCCTTAAAAAAAACCAAAAACAAACAAAAAAAAACCCCAACAAAAACCAAAAAAGAACAAGAGCTAAAAGCACAGCACATCTTTCAGCCCTTTTAAATCATCTTGTTTCACACTATCACACACAGGCACTGGCCCACAGGGCATAGTCTGAGAACAGACAACATACTGTCCTCCTGGCTTTGTCAGGGCTACACATAAGTGCAGAGACCCGCCCATGTGCTACACACTGTAAAACAAGGAACATAAGAACAACTGCAGCCTTGCCAATGGTCAGATCCTTCCAAATTATCTCCAGGACCCATATATGGCTATGGTCACAAAGGCATATAGCTACATCTAAGCCTATCCACAGACAGCACATCATCAGACACTAATAAGAAAAATGCAAATGTGATTTAGATTCATCATGAATTAAAGATAAAGGAAATACGATCTCTACCTATAGCTAAGCCTGTAAGTTAGGCATCAATATAAACTGATGGATTTCCAGAAACACCCCAGGACCGTCCATAACTTTCTCAGAAAGAGGCCACTTATTTTCATATTTCATAGAACAGTTTTGACTCCAAAAAAGAATATATATATATATTAAAAAAAATCAATGCTTCCCCAGTTTTTCACGGAAGACTTACACAGTAAGTGACCACATGCAGTGAGATTGAGGAGCTACTCAAAGGCCATGCAGACCTACAGCGCTGTGAAACTGGTAAAGTGGCTACTTATTACAGTCCCTGGCTCACTATCACCCCATTGCATTTTCAGCCATAAGCTTCATTCCATCATCTTCGTAACTGGAAAAGTTTGTAAGAGCAAAGCTTTCAGTAAACATTATTTGTGATTTATTTTCTGTCATACATATATATTCCCTGCACAATCATGATTTCAAACTACGATACCACAATAAGCATCTAAGTGTGTGTATATATTTGTGACTTAAAAGTGGCCACTTACTTTATAATTTTATTTTTAAAAAATCAGTAATTAGAAAAAAACAGATGGTACTGTGGTTTGATTCTAGGTGATCTTTAATATTTTTGAAAAGTCTTTCCTGGGAATTTTTTTAACAAGAATGTTTACTGCAATGCTGCTCCAAGATTTCAAAAACAATCTGAAGTGAATAAAAAGTGAAATGAGGTAATTATATGTAAATTAAACCTTCCAATGATCAGCTCACGGAAGTAAGATCAAAACCAAAATCAGGAGTATTACATGAACACATAAACTAGCTTAGCTTCTTTAACGGAGATTTCTTCAAAGAGCTACAAACAGGTTCTAGAAATTAAAATATGTTTATGTTGCTTTACAAGGAGCTGGCATTGTAGTCAGATGCTCAGGGGCCTAAATTCTTATTTGAAGTCAAAAGACATTCTCCTAATGACAGATGAACTGAGGCCTTTGGGTATTCAAGGAAACCTCCTGAACTGAAAGCCAGGGACAGGAGAGAAACTGGAGCTCGTGCCAAGCAACAACAGAAAATGACACGCACATACACAGACTTAAGGGTTGCTCTAACACTGGGGTTCCACAGTTGGAGGCAGAACATACCTGCTTCCCATCAGTGGAAGATATAATAGGTGACAAACAGAAACAAGTACTTGGGAATCGATATTTTAAAAACAGGAGTAGTTGTCTATACCCACAAAACTCACATTTACCCTCCTAACTTGAACTTAGTCCCCTCAAAAAAGCAGCAGCACAATGTATAACTTCAAAATGCCATGCAACATTCTCTCCTGGCAGTACAGCTTTACATACCTCAACTCCCGAACTCCAGCTTTTCATAAAACAAATATGCATAAAGCGAGTTATTTTGTACTTGCAGTTTTAATTTCCTAATTTGAATTCTTTTGTCATTCATTCATTTTATATATCATAGTCCTCTTTTTGGGGACACAGGATTGGAATCGCAAATGCACACTTCTAAACATGCACAAATCTTAGTAAAGAAGAACAAATTCAATTATTAGCTGGTAAATAAATAAAACAGTCACAGTAGCTTGCCTACATATAAAATAATTTGTATTTAATTTTCATTAATGTCCCTCTAAACGACATATCAATAGAAGAAATCTATTCTTCCTTTCTTCATAAATACGTGTACTTAGTGCTCTTTACCGTTTCCTTCTGAATCTTTGTAGACTATCAGACCACAAATACTGGTTTTGCTTTTTACAGAAACAGTTGTATTTCCAGCTGGATTGATTGCTTCCCCATATCTAGCTATTTTAGTGTGCTCCTCAGAGACACTGAGTGGCTTCACTGACAGTGAAACATGCTAAACAAATGACAAGTCACTGAGTAAATTAGCATCTACTCTCTGATCATCTGGGTCATGTTTTCTTTTCAAAATCCACGGCCTCTTGATAGAAAATAATGAGTATTTGATGGGCCTTATTAGAAAAATCAATATATTGATGCCCATGTCTGAAACATCTGCATAATAATAGAATCTGTTAACCCATTAAGTAGAAAATTAAGATGTGTTTACACATTATTAATTTACAATGAGCAGAGACCGTTTATTCACTACTTTCCTAAAGAGTTTAACAAAAAGAAAAGAAACTGTAATATCTGTATTTAATGGCATGGTAACATAAATTGAAAGATGATTCAAATTTTTGCCAGCTAAATAGCACAATTCCACCAACACTAATGTGAAAAATACAAATACACCAATGATACTCTTAAAAATAAGACTATTAAAGCACTTGCTATAAATACTGCATTACTTACCAAAAAACTTCCAAAAGCAGAATTAAATATAGCAGCTGCCTGAAGAGAGAAAAAGATAAATATCACCAATGGTAAAATAGCTATAGTACAAGAACAAAATGTTATTCCCCTGTCCAACAAGCTATTAGATTCTCCAAATACACACATACACAGAGACCATTATGCAGTTAGCCACTGCTTAAAAAATTGCCAGTGGCCTGTAACTTATGAAGACTGATAGGTTCTAGTTTATGCATTCATAAATAATGTGCTGAAATAGACAAAAGCAGGAGGAGAAAATCCTTGCCGGTAGACTTAAGAGGAATATCCACAAGAACTAAGAATATTACACAGAAGCTTGGTCTCACTGCTTTTGCTCTACTTTGCCAGGAACATTTTTACATATTGACCTATTAATTAAAATAAATATAATCTGACTTAACTGAAACACTGCATTTTCATAGATTTTAAACAATTCTTAATGGAGTATTATTCAGGCAAGAAAACGAATTTAATTGTTCATCATAGTAAAGTTTTGACAAATTCAGGAATTTATGTAGTCTGATCAACTAATTTAAAATAGTAACAAAAAAAACCCTAACAAAAACAACCCACAACCACCCCACACTTCTGAGGCCAAAATGTCTGATCATTACTTTTTACTCTACAGTCTTTTAAAATAAGAAAATAAGTAATTTTGATAATGACTTTAGATGTGTTTGTGCTTACCTAATATCCAGGAAACATAAGGTAGTAGTATTATTTCTTAACATTAACTCATTAAATCCCAGGAAGTTAAAACTTGAGCCTTGCATAGCTTTCCCCAATTACCAAGAAAGAACAGCAACTCTTGTATGGCAGCCAGTCTGATGATGAAAAGCCACACAGCAAAGGTAAGAGGAAAGGGAGGAGGGATATCTACCATTTACATGAAGATTTAGAGCAGAATCATCAAGTTAATCACCCTGGACACTTCCAGCCACAGATTAATAACAAGTGGATGCTAGCGAGTTTAGCAAGTTTGAATAAAGTCCAAAATCAGGGTAGGAGCTATAGCTGAACCTGCCTTCTGCTCCATAAGAGGATGCAATGAAAATGAATGGGTAATGAGATCCTTGGCTCTAGAGAGCTTAGCTTTCTTATTCAAGTTCATAATTAATTCAAAGCTTTGATAATTTCATTAGATTCCTCCTCTGCTGGCCCTATCAATAAAAGATGGCACTGGACTGCAGCTCCTCAGTGGCCCAAATACAAAAACAAATGCAGACTGGGAAACCTTTGCTGACTTGCTTACTAACAGGGACAATGGCATATGGCACTCCATGCTGCGGAGGGAGCATCTGAATAGATACAGCTAAATAAAACATTATAGTTGACAGTTGTAAACTACAGTAACATATTTTAACACCTCTTCCTCATCAGCATTCCTTCTTTGAACATAAAAAAAAGAGGCACAAGTCCAAACAGCTCCTCTTGCCAGAGATCACAGCAAGAGTGAGTACTACTTAAAACAATCTTCAACAAGTGTGAATTAAATCGGGATTTTCTACTTGTCTTTGAAGCTGTGTAGTTGGTACTTTCATGTGGCAAGAGAGACACACATTATAGTCATGCACAGAAACCTACTGCAAAGGATCAGTTAATATATCCCTTTTAAAGTTCCTATTATAATTATATTTAAAAACTCGACAGGTTTATCAAGCCTCTTTGGTATTTGTTGGACACGTGCCATTCTTTTACACAAGCTGATTGTATTTGACCACTTCAATCTGATAAAGATGCAGAAAGATCCGTTTTATTACATCCTGCCTCTGGATCCAGGAAGGAGGATCTAGACTTCCATTTTTATGCACACTCAGATCTTTTTCTTGCAAAACAGTTTTTGCTATATAAAACAGTGGAAATCAACTGTTGAGATCTGAAAGACAGAAGCATCTGGGCTCCACTTCCACACCAGAAGGCTGGGAGGAAACTTAATGGTCCCCTCCTCCCCATGCAGATTGTGTGTGCAGAATGATAGTTACATTTCTGCTACTACAAAGAACTGTATCACTCACCTTCTTCAGGAAAGCTGGTGAAGTCCACATGAAATGGATAGAGCATAAAAAGCAGCCCTTCCCTCCCCAACATGCTAAACTTACCTCTTCCTGTCTCAAAAATATCTGGTCCTACCAGAAGTTGGTTTCAGGCCAGGCTCTGCTTACAGTGCAGGTGAGCCTGCCAGAACACATCTATTGTTGCAAGAGAAATAACTTTAGTGCTAGAGAGCCCTCAACTGTTCTCCTGGTTATTTCAACAAAACATAAAGAACAAAGCAGCAGCTGGCCAGAACCGATACACTCAAAAGGACACTGTGCATCTAGTTTTAGCCACATCGGTGACTCCCAATCCTGATTGGAGGATCAGTTAGAGACATGACATTTCTGACTTAAAATAAGCTGCAATTCCCCTTCCAGGAGAAATTCTGTACCTGGAAGGGTGGTAAGGAGAGACATTAGATGGTTCTATGGTGCTGATACCAGATGGTGATATTTCACCTATCAACAAACTTTTTTTCTTTCTTGCTTCCTGATCCACCCAGAAGATTTATCTTTATTTGTTTGCTTTAATATTCTCAAGCATATAACAGGTACTAGGATAACATTCTTAGACAAATTTTATGCTTCAGGTATTAAGCCAGTCATGTGCAAAAGTCATAATTCACAACTGGTCCAACGGTACACTAGTTTGCAATTTTTAATTCTCTTTCTCCAAAGTGTCTGAAACAGTCCATGGCACATGATTAAACACTCATTACAAGCAAAAGAAAAAAAAAACAAACAGAAAGACCACAAATTAAGATATAATCATTCAGATAATTTGCCTCAGTAAGGGAAGACTTATACATGTCAATTACTCTATTTGCTGTTTTCTTTATAAACATTTCCCCTGCAAAATAAACTCAGAAGTACATTTTTCTCATACCCACAAACCTGGGGCTTAAATTTGTGATTCTGGTTCAGCTTAAACAAACTGGTAATAAACTGAATCAACTGTTCCAATTTGTAATTAGATGTACCTAGTAGCACGACCCTGTAGAATTTAAACACTTTGTGCTTCCAACTCCCTTCTATCAAGAGGGATAATATTGCCTACATACCTCACAGGGCATTGTCAAAATTAATTCATTGCTTAAAAAGCACTCTGAGATCCTTAGAGGGATGATACAAATAAACATTAGTGCTGACACATGATACAGCTAGGCTCTTCATTTTCTATTTGAAACATTTATTAGTCACTATTATTACATAACTTTTTTAAGTGTTTGCTCCTTTTGTGCTTCAACAGATATCAGACTATCTGCAGTCAGCTTAAATGAAACAGTAAAACATGAAAACATTTAGATGTCCTCATAATACTCCAAGTTCAGATTTGCATGCTTGCAAAATGTTCATTACACTTACCATCAATGTGAGGGGAGAGTTCTCTATAAAATCAATGGTAAGATCCTTTCAAAAGGTAAATGCATAGCCACGTATTGAAATGCAAGGTCAGACCACATTCAAAAGCAGCAGTAGTAAGACCAATTACTCAAGTCAGATGTAAAGACGAAAAGTCATTGCCAGTAGTCTTTACAGAAGAGCATGTGCATCTCCACTAGAGTTTAAAATAGTACACACTAGCTCCACTAAACAACAGATTTACTTAGTAGTAAGTAGGTACAATTTCAGTCAACTCTGTATGCCACTGGGCTCGAGGGAACAATCTCACTGGTCTGCATTGCTGGGGAGGATCAGCTGGCCTGGAGCACTTTCAAGTGAGAAGTAAGCAGTTCGCCCCTGAAGGAAACCTATCTGGCAGTACTTGGCAGAAACTTTCCTCCTCCCATACCTGAGCCTAGCAAAAAGCTTCAGACCTTCACTACCCCCCTTATCCTGGAATATGTGTATGGAAAACATCGCTCAGATTTGTAACAGTGACAGCAACAAGATCCAAGACAGTCCTCACAGCAACAAAGGCTAGTAAAAGAAAGAAGAAAAACACAAAGCCACAAGCAAGGGGCTGAGCACTCCCCCATGGCTGGGTACCCAAATTCAGTGTCAAGTACACACAGCATTCAAGTACATGTGACTGGGCAGCAAATCAAACAAGTATGTCTTGAGGACACCAAATACAGAATACAATCTGAACTCATTCCATTTCCTTTTATTTTGGTATCAAGCTAAATTAGCTTGGTATTTATTTGACTAGATATATTTTGATAATAATGTAGCAGGACTACATTAAAGAAGAGGAAAAAATACACTGGCAACATTTGGAACACCTGAGTCAAAAACCAACCAATTATGTCATTAGCAGCAGGATTCAAGTTCCATCTCAACTGGAACTACAACTTCCTTTACTGCAGAGTCACAGGGAAGCAACAGTGCCTCACAGCTTTATACAAGGACCATACCATAAAAAAAAAAAAAAAAAGGCTTTTTTGCAAATATGTATAACTTTTTTTAACACTAAAATGTTTGATTCTTGAGTGTCATTTGGCAGCCTTTAGGGAGATAACCTTCCTAACTGTACTTAACCCTACGCTTACCTCCAGGCACCCCACAGCTGAGCGAGTACTTGCAATGCACACTAGGACCTGTCTGGCCCCAAGTCATCCCCACTCTGTGGAAAGGACATTCCAGGGCCAAGGCTACAGATGCAGAGTAATGAAGCTGAATGGCCTCAAAACATCTCAGAAGGAAGTGGCTTGGGCATCATACAAAGCTGCTTGCTCTGTGTATGCCTGCAATTAACTGCGGTTAAAACCTTATCATTTTTAGACATGCACTAGTGGGATATACAGCTCAAGTACCAGGCATAAGACTAAATATCCTATTTAACACACATGGCACAATAAGAAGAGGAAAACAACCCAGGAGAATAGAAAGTTGGAGAAAGACAAGGACTCTAGCAGTACCACTGCAGGATTAAGCCGTAGAGGGCAGAGAACACAATGTCGTAATATAACATATTAGAGTGTCCATTTAATAGATCTAGGTCTCCTATTTAATAAGGAGAAGAAAGCAAAAAAAAAGAAA